CAAATGGCAGGCGTTTTGATAGTTATCATTAGTCCTTTAGCTGACTTCGGGCTTCACAGGGGGAGGAACATCAAAGTAACAGAAAGCCGAGGGATGGGGTGCAGAAGAGTGGTTTACAGTTGTAAAAGAGACAGACACAAAGGCAGAGAAAAGGTAGGAAGATTACTGTGGAAGTGGTAGAATATGGCATCCAGTGGGGTTATGGTAGTTTGAAGTCAGAGGTCAACTGCCGGTTAATAGACTTTTTTGCCCTATGAATGTACGTTGCCCAGGTTGCACCACGTGGAGGTAAGTCTATCGCACACCCCAGGCACATAACAGTCAAAGTGTAATATTTCACTTTCGTTGTTGATTCAAAGTAAATTCTCTCATATTCAACTGTTTCTTTGCTTTTGTGAAACAAGAAATAGTTTTTGTTACGCCATTTGTCAGGAATTATTAACGTTTTAGAACTCTGCCCGCAAAGAAAGAACAGCTCTTGGTTCGGTAAGCTAAAATATTGATTTTTACAAATGCAATTTTCTTATTTCAAAATGTTCGTATAAACATTCTAAACATTCAATTTTGTAGTAAAAAATCTCAAGAAGTGGCAACATTAACCGATGACCTTGGGTTGGTTTATTTTTTTGTTAAACATGTCCATTCATTTTAAGTTTCTTCCACGAAAGACGAAACCGAATTGAATTATTTGATTTGGACAAATTTAGCTGAATTAAGCATTATTAAACTATGATTTAATAGCACCATACTTTACACATAATTGCTGTGAAGTAATGGGTCAAATTTTGTGACCTCATTTGTTGATTCAAGATGTTTAAGTAAAGCAACTGATTATTGGGTAATATCTCAAACTGATGGAGTAATTTCCTAGTCCATTTGTAATTTCCTGCATAAAGGGCTAACTATTTCTTAAATGACCTTGGGAACCCAGCAGAGATTTGTAGATCAGCGACGCGTTTTGTAAAATAGCGTTGTTATATGATGACCCTTTACTTATTATATCTTAATTACTTTACTCTAATTGATATATTTTCTCTTATTATATTGTGTGTTTAAATATAACTGACATATACGCAACTCATTCAATTGATTTCGAGATAGTGTATCAAAATTCGTTAAAACTTCTGCCTCGTTACAATTTGGTACTAGTTATTTATTTACGACTTAACTAATGTGGTTGTTAATTATTAAAAAAATAACAAAGTATATTCAGGTTTAATGTATTCACCTGTAGCATTGCAGCCGACAAGTTGTACAATCGCTTTTCAATTACTACGAATACAATTTCTAATAGAAGTTCAATGAATCTTAAAATTAAGAACACTTACAATAAATTCACTTAATAAGCTTAAGCAAATTAACAAATATTTCGTATATTTCATTTTGACCTCATTTTAATTCTTATGGAAAAATAAATCATGACTTATGCAGTATCGAATAATATGTTAATTAATTTTAGACCTATACTAGAGAAGATACCTGAAGAGGAGTCGTAAGTCGGCCTTTTTGTCTAATTTTGACAGATGAATGATTAGTTTAGAAATAAGGAAGTAAAATAACCAGAACGCTTTTGCCAAAATAGTTGACTATAACAGATCGAATATCTTAACTTAGTAGCTCTAGAACTTGGGCCTTGAAGCCTTTTCTGGGAGCGATAAGAGGGGGGGGGGTCTGCTCACAACTTATGAGGATGGCTTTACCAACCATTCAAACGTTATATTGTGTAAAATATCGATCCAATGGATTATCGACATTTCCAGGTACCTAGGTTTGGCTAGTCGTAAATTTGGATAAAGTGATGAGTAAACTGGCCTCCATCAGAAGAATGCGTCTTATTCTTACTTGAAGCAAAATCTTACAACCTTTGTTTCATTCAAAGCATTGGTGGCACTGGATACAAGAGTTTGGAATAACGTATTTATAAGCTATGGCAGAATTGAAGAGTTAAAGAAGCGATTGTCACAAGCAAAGCTACTTATAGAATCTAATTGATTTCGTCTAAGAAATATCTTTTTTAAATTCCATAATCTTAAAGATCTTTCTGGTGTAGTAAACCTTTTCAGAATCAGAAGAACGAGAACTGAGACGACCTAGATGTACACTGATTGATTGTAGAGGACGAAGCTGGTAAAGACATAGTGTTCTGGCAAGGAGAGCTGGATTACACGTCTAAAGCTCATACGTTAATGTAGTATTATTTGTAATGCCCACGATATTTTGAAGCTGAAAAAAGGCTTATCTATGACAATGAAAAAAGGCACTGTTGATTTTCAAGCTCCTTAATGAATGTGTAGTACTTAAAATGGTTTGCATTAATTGGCTTAATTAAATAACATGTGACTAAGATATTTAATGACGTGCGAGTAAATATAAAGAAGCACAGAATGGAAAGGGCACCTGGTTTGAAATGAAATGAATTCACTTCAAGTAAGAAATAATTAGTGAGCATTTATTACTTATATAAGAGTTGTTGATATCAAACTTTTGTTTTAGCTTCTAAGGTCAAATTGCAGTTAATCTACAAGGAGTTATCTTTTAAATTCACAAAAGCTAATGCCAATGCCAATTTCTGAGAAACAATCTAAAATATTTTTAGTATATTTATTATTTGTTTAATTACTGCTTCATTCAGCTTCTATTTAATCGTATTTTCTAACGAATCCTAATTTTTAATTTAGGTCTAATTTAACTACTAGCCCTAGAAGGTGACTTGTAATTTTTATTTTAAACTATTAATTTGCTTTTAAATCTATTCATTTTGAATAAAATCTAATGCTTTTGGAGAACTTTTGATGAAGGATGCTCTACACAGCAATATCCGTCGTAAACTTTCCGAAATAAATTTCAAAATAGGATAAATTGGCATTTGCCAGCACTAATTAAATACCCAGTTGTTTGGAGAAATCTTTCTAGCACAATTCCCTAGTATGAAACTACTCCAAAAAATCACCTAAGCTACCTCAACAGTAGTGTTTATTCTGGGTATGAGCAGTTACTCACAGCTTGGTCATTAGAATACAACTTTGGTCCCACTCCGAACACAGCGACAATAGTTTATTCCAGACACTTCAAGCGAGTATGAAGTCCCTTGACATCTGGCAAAATAAAAATATGAAGGTTACATAGACTAAAGTACAACATTTCGTAAATTGATGAAATGAAATTAAAGCCTTAACAACGAATTAAGCATATCATAAAAAGGACCATGGTAGTTTTAAATTTTTATTACGATCGGGGTAAAATATGAGTTTTCATGTATCTGGTTACAGTGAAGCAAATGTGAAAAATTCCAGGTCACTTGGGTAAGCAAATAAATGACCAATTTTAAAGCATTTTTAAATTTGTGCAAATATTGCCTTAACCAACATTTTTTGCAGAGAACTCTCGACTGTAGGACTGTACAAACAATACACGTAAGTCGGTGCTTCAAAACAGTGAAATTATTATTCAAATGCTACTTAACACGAACATCGTAAATATGAGGTAGAGTTACATTATATTTTTAGGGTGAAGATTATCAGTTGTCCCAGAATATTAATCGAAAATTCGTAAAAAATCCGTCCTTTTGCGCCCTAAGTGAGCTAAGGACTAATAGAGCTAAGAGAACGGATTTACATGATTTTAAAAATATATCTAACTTAATGGTTTTCACTAATCTAACTGCTTTCGTATTTTGGGAAGCTAATACCAACAATAAGTTTTGATTTCCCAATAGCAATCTAATATTCCTCTCCTAAGGATATTCTGTCTTGGCACGAATCATTATGGATAAAGATTGAATTGAATACGCCCACACGAGCGTGTTTTAGTGGCCAAATTTATAAAGTAATTATGAATCTGTTAACTTTAGCGAAGCTATTTCACTGAAATTATTTGCTTATATATTACGTTTGCAAAACAAGCGGGAGAAAAGTATTTTATCAACCGATCACATTTACAAGAAATTCTATTGAATTTAAACGCACTTTTGAAGTCACGCTTTTAACCCGCCATTTTAGCGCATGCCCACTGAAGAATATGGGCCAATCGTTGTAAGTGATGCATTTTATTTAGAGGCCCCGAATTTTAAGACTAAACATGACACTTGCATCTATCAACTAGTGAAAATCTTTCCAGTCCCTCCCAACTTCCGTAAGTATAATAGTAATTAAAAGTAATTCAACTTACATCTTAAATATTGCCTTTAATTCGATTTCGCAGAAAAATAAAAGCTTTTAATTTGTTATTATTACAAAATTTGATATCGTTAGGCTGCCACTTCAGAAAATCGGTTTGATCCACTCTAAGATGTACGAGTATTCACAGTTAGTTGTAAATGGGAAATTAGTTAAGACGCCAAACATCAACTGATTGCTTATTTTGGAATTTAGTCAAGCTTAATAGACGTGGATAATATCAAAACTTGCAGAATTCCTTGGAATAGCTTGACCATTTACTGTACTAACTAAGTCAATTTCGTTCCATTATTTTAGCGACCGCGGAGGCCGGGTTTCTACCCTGCGGTAAACATTTTATTAATATTATTTACTTCTAGTATTATTTATTTCATGTTTAAACAATTACCAAGTTTATTTAATTATAGAGCCATGTTTGAGGTTGAAGATAAATTGTGACACCGCTATTTAACAATAATTTTGTCCTGTCTGTATTTACCATTCTTTTAAAACCCTCACGTAATTTACAACAAAACTATTAACATCTGCTTGTATGTTATCTATTTGAAGGTAAATAAAAAACTGAAGCGTTCTACTATTCATCTTATTAAAGCGATTAATTGACTTTGATGCTGTTATCGGTTTACGAAATCAAATAAGCACCTTTTCATTTCTTAATGATATGCAATAATTTTCTCCAATGGCTAGAAGCACCGAACGTGCCTAAATTTTGTTTCCTTCATTCATTCATTCATTCTACAATGCATCACCGTTGTCAATATTTTAGCTGGCACTTTTTTTCAAAAGATGCTGTGATAATTTTTTTAATATTGGCATTTATCTTGAGTGGAATCCATGACGTTCTATTAGTGACCGAAAATAGAAAGTGCAGATATAAAAAAGGGACCATCACGTAATTTTGTAAACTTGATCAGATCTGCTGTTGGACGTAAGTGGAACAAAATGTTGACCTCCGAAATGCAGGTGAACATGAACCGCCGTTATTGATGACCAGTTGTCAAGTTAATTGCCACTTAATCGGCTCTAAGTGTGAAACCTCAAGTTATGACAGGGTGACGCCAATCACTGCTACAATTATATATAAATCTTCATGAACTTTTTTAAAGTATGTACAAATAAGCATATTTTAATACGGTATTTCATTTAGGTAAACATATGGGGTTATTTATTTTACCAATGAAGCTCAATGAGTGATGTAACGGTTCAGAGCAATCAATATAATCTTAAGTATAACTGAGGTAGTTACATGGCTGCAATTAACTAACTAGGAAGAGGGAAGACATGACCTGCGACTTACAATGAAAACTTAATTATTTTGAATCAAACTGCCTGTGCATAACCTAGTAAATTGGCAGAATAACAAAAACTGAAAAAGGAGTTTAAAATTTCTTTGCATGAAGAGCGATTTAGATGAAAATATTTTGATAAACTAGGCCCAGGTCGTTGAAAATATTTGAGCATCTAAGAAAGTAATTAGTCAAAGTGGGAAAGCGGTGTTTTAATCATCCTTCTCTGTGTTATGTATGATAGGTTAATATGGTGAAGTAAATTTGAACCAACAATTAACTGTGCCAAATTCAGCTTTATAATTGATGAGATTCGTCTTTAGGGGCAGAGAAATAAGGCGCTAGTTTGGTATTTTGCAGAGGTTAATTGGAGCTATTTTAGTTTAATATTTCGATAAAGCATCAGTACCAAGAAGCTATTCGTCAATTTCACATTCAACTAAAAATAGAGCCTCTATTTTGAATTTCAAGACTTTTTCAGTCCTGAACCGATAATTTCATAACCTTACTGTCTTTTTTGAATTGGTGATTGCAAATTATTTTTGCTGAGGTTTCATAGGGATTAATAAGTAATGTTAGAGGGAAAATAAATTCAAAAATCATTTCTCGCTTCAAAGACAGAAAAAATAAATAAAAGACACCTTACTTAACAACCTAACCATGTAATAAAGATATTAGTAAGACCAAAAAATGTCAAAAATCATAATTAATATTAATTATATATGCTATACAATGTCTTTAAATATATTTCAACAGAATTTTGACAAAAAATATTATTGAAAATATTGTCTGGTTGTAATATTTTGAAACTAATTATATAGTTGAATTAACAAGATTTTAAATTGTTTGTTTAAGTTTATAACTGTGCATCCGACCTAAACGCCGTTCATATTCAACCAACCCCAGTCAGTCACAATTAGAGATTTGAGCCGCAAGAATGCGGCTACTAAAATTACTGCTGTTTGTAATATTATCTTATGGTTACCCGGATGATTTCTTTCAACAAAATGGTACATTTAATGTATTGATTTCACTATTGCACTTTAGATTACCCAGACGATATTGATTACCTGGATATGGATCCGGATTCGTTACTCGCAGAACATGCAATTATTACAGCAAATGCAACTTGTGGTGAACGAAAACGGGAATATTTTTGCCGTTTAGTTGAACACGCTGGGTATGACTTTGCGTAAGTTTTTTGGCTATGTATGCTTATATCATTAATCTTGTTTTGGTTAATAAAGTTATTTTACCTTAGAGCTCTGTTGAGGATAAAACGTCAAACATTTTCGCATCCTCAAGATGCTAGGACTTTTAAAGATGTTGACGGCACTGTGATAGAATGCAATTACTGTGATGCAAGGGATCCTAGTCTACGACATCCTATCGAGTATGCGGTTTCCGGTGACAATAATTTGTGGTGGCAGAGTCCGTCTCTTGCTGAAGGCCTTCAATATCATGCTGTGACAATCGATGTCGATTTGAAACAGGTAAAATATACCTTAGATACTTTTTTCTTTACTCTTTTATTAACATTAAATAATTGTGTGGTAGGTATATCAAATTGTCTTCATTCTACTTCGAATGGGAGACTCCCCACGCCCAGCTAACTGGATTCTAGAAAAATCTATAGACGGAAAAGATTTTCAACCATGGGTCTTCTTTGCAGAGAATGCTCAACAGTGTATGTCTATGTTTCAACCGACGGTAAATGGAACGCTTCGCATTACAAGTGATTCACGACCCCACAAACTTGGAAATGCAGAGGTTCTTAACCCCGATATCAGATAAGCAAATCCATTAATGAAATTAGTTTCAAATGTATTATCCGGTTTGGTTTTAGGTTTACTGCACGACATACTTCAGCCAGCCTCAAAATCTCCAGGCCGGTGAAATAATTATTCCATTGACTGTTGATAGGGAAGGTGCATCATCCTCATACCTTGAGGCCAGTAAACCCATCGATCCGGAACTGATCGTGAGTTGAGAGGCTTGTTCAATTATACGCTTAGCTTCTTCATGGGCATTACTTTATATCTTTATAGGAGTTTCTCTCGGCACGATTCGTCCGTCTTCGTTTCCAGAAATTGCAGACCCTTTCAGGTGACTGGATGACACTCCGTGATCAATTAGACCCGACTGTATACAACCGGGTTAGTTTTCTTAGTGTATTTGGATCTGTTTATGTGAACTGTGGGATTGTTTATTTTATTGTCTCTGTGATTTTTTCTAGCAAAAACTAATATATTGTTGTACTGTATTTTTTTTGGTAAATTAAAGTTTTGTATTTCTGGAAAACTAATTGCATTATAATCTTTTTGTTGATATTTTTAGTATTACTACTCCATTAGAAACATCAAAATCGGTGGGAAGTGCATTTGCAATAGTCATGCCAACACTTGTGGTCGTCAAATGGTCAATGTGAGTTGTCCTTCATGTATAGGATAGACCACCTATAATGACTTATTTGAGCATTTTTCTCTTGTTTAAACTTTAGGGAGTCCCAAGAGCGGTTTGCGATTGTCAGCATAATACCTGTGGTCATACTTGTGAGAAATGCTGTCCATTATTCAATCAACAGCCCTGGCGCCCTGGTGGAATGTGTGAAGGTGATTCAGCTATTTAATACCAGATATAATGATGATTAGCTAATAAGCGGGGTTTCTTATGAGGTCAATATTATTTCATTTGATATATTTTAATTTTGAAAAAGATTACTCGATTGCACGTTTCTTTATAATACTCAGAATTTTATTCACTCGGTTCGGTGCTGTTATTCATGGCAGTTAATTTAAAAAATATATTATAAAAATCAATTTATCGATTTAAAAAACATGAATTCATTTGAATTCCTTCTTAATCACGCAAAAAAGTTGAAATACTCATTGAACTGTCTCGAATTAAAGTAGTTTTAAAATCCTTACGTATTATAGGCCTTTAGCAACTTTTAACTACCTTCTTGGATGACCACAATAAATCTTTCTTTCATTGTACTGAGGCATTCAACCATTTTAGAATGCAATTGTCATGGAAAGGCTGATTCTTGTGTCTACAATCAGACGGTGGCAAATCTTCAACTTAGTCTCAATCGATACAACGTCCGAGAAGGTGGTGGTGTCTGTCTTCAATGTCGCGTATGCGCTTCTCTTTTCTTTTAAGCCCCTCTCCTTTAGGATTTTTATCACGTTTGATGTATCACCATATCTGCTTCAAGTACTTAATTCCTGTCTAATTTATTTGATTTAATATATATATATATATATATATATATATATAGAGTGAAGAGTTTGAAATTTATATTCAATCTGAACTGAGTCTAAGGCGTGTCATCACAATTACTTAGAATAACTTGATATGACATTTTTCTTATGCATTTGAATACTTCATTGGGATTATTTCTGTACCTTTGGAATTAAAAACCCCCTATTTCCTGAAACTGAGTGCTATTATCAATTTTACAGGAAAAAACAATGGGTATAAATTGTGAAGATTGTATTCCTGGCTACTATCGTCCATTGAATGTTGGTCCTGATGCCAGGAACCCCTGTGTCCCATGTCAATGCAATATTCACGGCTCAACGGGCGTCTGTATTTCCAATGATGCCTTGATGCCAGAAAAAGTAAGCGATTTCATTTCTTGAAAATCGTTTCATTAGTATTGGCGGTAACTTCATTTATACTTATTGATTTGCTCATTGGAAAGACACAAAGTGGCGAACCAGTTCATTTCAAACATATTTTCCTTCCAAATAACCTCAGACCCACAAATTTAATCCAACTATTAATAATATAAAACATTTTGTTATTTTGCATATTTAGACTAAATAATGTTTCTTTTTATAGTTTCTCAATAATATTTTAAATCCAAAATTGTGCTAATTTTTTATACTTATTCGTCATTCTTTGCAACCGCAATTCTAAATGTCAATATTAAAAGGAGGTTTTTTATTTAATTTCCTTACGTTAAAACTTAGATACAAAGATAGCGCCAAAGGAACGTAATTTTGGAATTGTTGAGATCGAGATCTGTGAAAATCTGCCTCATAATCCACATTAATGTTGTGTCTTCCCTTCTCAACTTCTACGTCAATGTTGGAAGAGATCATTCCGCTATTTGACGAAACTTTTGTACCAATTTGAAATGAGTTCTTCTTGTCTCCAACATGTCCATGCTTATTTTGACGGTAATTAAAATGTGTGTTAATAGAGAATCCTGAGAGAACAGAAGCCACCTTGATTTTGGATAGCTTGCATCATGTAAACATGATCACATTAATTATTCACTTCTGGATATTTTAGTCCAAGCTTAAACGATTTAATTTACTTATCTAAGTCCTATTTTATTGTTACTGTGTTTCAAACATTACTAATATTAATAATTCTAATTGCATATCTGAGAAAGTACGTTTCTGGTAGGCATTTTTTATGGTTCTCCATTTCATAAGAGCTTGCAATTGATTATATTTCTGCCTAATATTTGAATCCAATCTAATTATGAATTTCAAATGTTGCACCTTTTAGGAAAATCGATGGTTTAAAGGTTTCTCTATCGAAATCATCTCGAAAGCTTTAATCGTAATAATAAGTGATCCTGTAGCTCAAATTAGTTAAGAAAACACAAATTGAACTTTAAAACTATGTCCAATTCTTTGTGATTTCTTCGCTGCGCGAGCCTCAACATTTCTCGCTTACACAACCACCCAGGTCACGATTGATGTTTGAACAAATAGACGAAGGAGTGACCTGTTCAACCCCCCCCCCCCCATCCTGTAAGGTGATAAAGAAGCTGACGCTCGCAAACAAAGGGACAGGTCACACAAGATGCGGTGCCAAGTGTATTTATGATTGTTAATGTATTTGTGTGTGTGTATGTGTGTGCGAGAAAGTGCTGGGTGTTTACGTTGGCCGATGGGTCTTTCACTTGTGTAAGCTTACCTTGGGGTGAACCAACTTGCGAACAGATGCCGGACAGTCTTGGTCTAAATAAACTATACCTTCTTTCTCATTTTCTCTCTGATGCAAGTATATCTTGAAGGAGGAGCATCTTTTCACACTACCAACAGGAATTGATTTCGCGTGTGTAAACAAACTAGAACCTTGTTCTTATTTCGGAAAATCCAATGAAAATCTGCATTAATTCCGCCAATACTGAGGAAGTCGCATAATCGAGTCCCCTTGATCAGAATATGGTTCCGTTTGAGATACAGGCTTGACAGAGAAGATGCATAGTAGTTAATCTAGCATTCTTTATGTGGAAATGAGGTGGACCGTTAACCATTTGAGTTGCCAAAAGTACCGAGTTTCTTAAGAGCACTAATAGGAATCTTATCTTAAAGATTTTAAGTTTCGTTGGGCTGTAAATTGGAAGTAGGTCATGCTATCGATTTCACTAATGATTTTTTCAGTATTTTTCTTCCTATATAGCAGGAAATGTTCATATAGTACCAAAGCAATCAAAGTTTGACATCAGATATCTCTATGGGAAACAAATCTTGACCCATCATGTAGATAAAGAAGTCAGAATGTTTTTGGCTATTTACAGTACTTGTTTGAATGTAACTTGATTTGGTAGATGCTGATCATTTTCAAAATTTTTGTCTTGAAATCGAAAAATAGGAAATGGGGATAATAAAAGTTGACGTATATGGCAATATATCGTTTCTTTCTTGTAATTCCCCCAGTTAAATCCTTGTTACTCACTTTGTGACTTCATTTGTATTTAATTTTTTAATTTATTGGTCTTATGACCCGAAATTTGACTCCATCTATTTCAGCAACCCGGAGATTGTGTCTGCCGGGAGGGCTTCGCTGGTAGGCTTTGTGATAGGTGTGCAGAGGGGTACTATCAATCACCTTTTAATCCACGGGAGTGTCTCAAATGTCCCTGTGATGTAGCCGGTTCCCATAGAGGTCAAGGCTACCGCTGTCAACCGCCATGCAATTGTAAGGTAGGTTCTAATACATTCGATTTAAGTAGAAACTTAAACAAGAATGACATGGTGATGGGTAAACCTTCTTTTGTAGGCTAATGTCGACCCAGACTCACTTTGCAAGGCTTGTCTGCCTAACCATTTCAATCTCGATGATAATAATCCAGAAGGTTGTCAAGAATGCTTCTGTATGGGTCTGACCAAAGACTGTCAGAGTGTCTCAGTCGCAACTTCAAGGGTATATCTATATGAAGGCATCGACAATCACAACCTAAGCAATGCTTACTTATTCTTTTTTATTTCAGCGATTGGAGCAGGAGGGCAAATTGGGTTTGGTAAGTTGGTGCACTACTTATCGCCTATTGAAAAATTTGCCCAACTTTCTTAAACACTTTAGATTCGTACTACTCTAATGATTTAAGTAGCCATTGTTATTTTCAGGTTGATACGCTAGAGGGATGGAGTCTTGTAGTTCCTTCTTCGCCTCGTTCCTTGTCAGTACCTCCAACTAGCGCTGGTGCTTCAGCAGACAGTGTTGAAACAACGCGGATGCTTCGTGTGTCTGCCGAAGATGCTGAATTCGCCCTAGGTCCACCAGCTGCAGTCCCGGGGAAGTCAATTTACTGGAGTGCTCCTGTGGAATATCTTGGAAAACAGTTGACTGGATATAGAGGTTACCTGGAAGTTATCACACGTTTCACCTCACTAGTTATTCGCAAAACTACTGCATATGATAATTACACTGCTTCAAGAGTCTGGATAACTGAGCCGGACGTCGTTATTGAAGTAAGAATTATTCAAAATCATTAATTACGGTATCAATTTAATTGATATTTTTGGCACGATTGATTGATGTTTTAATTAACATTGACAACTAAATAGAATAATTTTGGTAGCAAATGTAAATTGAAAGCCTATTTCAGAGAAAACAGAAATATTATAGTGGTAGGCTTATAATGAATTTTAAAAAGTGTGGCATAAATTGAGGGGTTAGTTGTTCGTTTTGATAACTCGATCGGCTTCTTTTTAAGACGGGGAGGTTATATTTTCGTTTTATCTTTGGTAAATAAACCATGAGTATCACTTACTCTATCATCTGTCTATCAAAATTTTGACCCATAGAAGTAATTATTCTTATTCTATTATTTACTTTTAGGGCCATGGAATTCGCCTTGGTTACACACCCTCTCCAGAGATGCGACAAACTCATCGTGTACAACGTATTCAACTACACGAATCCAATTTCCGGGTACTGGTTGAAGCCGGCAATGGTGGTTTAGATCGAATTCCCATCCACCAAACCCAGGTTACCCGGAGCGGAAGACAGCAAATGTATCCAGACCCAGCATACAGACAAGAAAGGTAAGTGGCTCAACTACTGAATTGAATATGAGTAGAAATAAAACCTTACAATATATATTTGACCAATTTAGCCCAAACAGATTGGATTACACAAAAGTTGGCCGACCAGCAACTGTGGTAGATATAATGACAGTACTTTCGAATTTGACGAGACTCTACATTAAAGCAAAGTACACTGATGATCAGACATTTACCGAGTAAGTCCGTCTCATGTTAGTTGGCACGATATCAGGAATGGTTAAATGAGATGAATCGTAACCTTTTCAGACTCCGACGGTTAGCAATGGAACGAGCAGAGCGGAAGAACGTTACACTAGGAGGACTTCCAGAAGGTATTCGTGGAATTGAAGAGTGTCGGTGCCCCCCTGGACATCGTGGTACCTCTTGTGAAGAATGTGAACTCGGTTACTGGAGGGATCCCTCGGTCGGCCCTGCTGGTGTAGACCAAACCGGTGCAATCGCTGCGTTTTTGGGATTAGTGAACCCTATCTTCAGGCGTGCTTGTGTTCCATGCGATTGCAATGGACGCGCTGATACTTGTGACCCAAATACTGGACACTGTTTGGTAAGTAATTGAATGTCCCGATTTTATGGTATGAGAACATGATTCAATCTATTTGTACACTATTTTCGTTTACCTACGCTCATATCTCGTCTCTCAAGGTAGAATAGTAGATTCTATGTCTCTAATTTTTTTATCTGTCCATTTGTGACAGTGAATAAAATTCATGGACACGCTGAGCCGAAAATTCAGGACATCAAGTGGGTCTTTAAATCACGACCCTCGGATGCAATCTCATTTCGCAGTTACAGTTTACTTCTCCGTGTTCTATTTTTTCCTACTCGGAAATTGAGTTCGCTTTTAGAGAAATCCCATATTAGCGGCGTTCGGTGCTTATTGCAAAGTTATTTAATTTAAAAAAGTGAACAACGTTGTCTTTTGATAACCAAATTAATAACCGAATGGCGATTGTCTACACTATTTAGAACATGGCACAGATCTTTAGGTTTCAACAAGTTATTTAGGTACTAACTTGTATAGGCAAATAGAAAATTTTTATTTACAGTGGCACGATTCAGATTCACAAATTCTCTCACATCTATCAGCTCCATTTCTTTTGTCCCAAAAATTAATTTTATTTCCAGTAACAGGACAAGAATTTTAGTGGCTTTCTGTTGTGTTGAAGTAGCCAATTTAATCGGAACTAAAATCTCACTTATGCGCCGTAATTAGGCAATAGAAGTGGGAACTTGGGTGTCACGGAATTCTACTTCATTTATGCTCCGGAAGCATCGGATCAATTTCTATTACAATCTGAACTCCGTTTGAGTTCGTCATGACGAAAGTGAATGAAAGGAAGGATAAATCAGATAGAAATGTGGCTGACTCATCCTCAAATGTTCGAAAGTCATACTGGCTAGTCATCTGATCAACTACAATTAAGAATACTGATCTTTGCTGTCTTAACACCCATTTTGGTCTTGTTTCCTTATCTTTTCAATGTTCTTTTTTGGTAAGCTTTCATGTCAACTCTTCTTCCGTTCATTTCTTCATTAGTTATCATTAAATTTCTCTATCTTTTTAAACTTTACTCTTCAATACACATCCAATAGGTAATTGCGTCATCGCAATTTTTCATATCCTTTGTCTGAAGTGCTGCTATTGCATTGCGATCCATCTAGACTAAAGCATACGAAAAATGAATGCCGACATAAAATTATGCTTTGCTATTATTGTTGAAACAAATATTTTTAATGCGCCTCCAACTCTTAAGCCAATAAATTTTAATAATTGGACTGAGATCAAGGGAATTAATGAATATTTCCAGGAATTTCAAGGCGTAAAGAGGTGGAAGGTAATGACTGGACTCTTAGCAAGCATAATTTGGTTTCTGGGATTTAGTGTTCAGCTCTATTTTGCTTCTTTAGTTTGTTTATTCCATTTGTGTAAGAGTGCCTAATCGAATACCTTGCGGGTGCTTGAGAAAAACTTGTAAAATTCATCCTTGGTGCATTGGATTACCGAATATTGGTTTTCTTCATAGAAATTCGAAAATGTTAACTCACTATTCAATCTCTGCAATTTTCAACTTATCAGACTGCCAATCATTTGCTTCGAAGAAAATTCTACAAAACGAAATTTTGAGTTGCTTGTCGTCTCTTTCTAAAGAGTGGAGTATTTTTATTGAAAGAAAAATTTTAAATCTTTGAGAAACGCTAAGATACTTTTACATTTTCGCTATTTTCCTTCAGAACTGCAAATACAACACCTTCGGTCCAAAGTGTGAACAATGTGCTCCAGGATTCCACGTTGATCCTACCAAGTTTGGATCGGACATCTGTCAACCTTGTGAATGTCCATCAGTTCTGAATCAGAAGACAAATTCCTGTGTTGCCCTGTCTCCTGGAGATTTGGGAACTTTTGGTATCTCTGCTGAAAAACCATACGCATGTCTGGACTGCGAGGACAAGTAAGTGGATTTAAAATACTTCAAAAGTCTTTCATTCATTGGTGTTATCTGTCTATATGGGTAAACTTAATCAATCACCCAGTGAAATTAGAATTATCAAAGTTCAGTTATGATTCGACCTTTGATTAAAGAGAGTTTATAATAAATAAATTAAGGCTATCGGATCATACGAAGGATTAGTTGTTCCTAATTAGCCAATCAATAAATTCGACTAAAAGAAAATTCCAGATTTCCTCACCTGAGTGATTGGCCTTCCATAGAATCAATTGGATAGGATTGAGCTCAAAATAAGAATTCTAATGAGGAATTTTACCCACCAGCATATAGTGATGAAGCAGGGGACAGTTGCTTTAGAGTTGTACTATCTCAAACTCAGGATTTCATTTAAATTATTGAATTATGGTGCTTCATAACAATATCGATTTCTTAGTCCTTGGGTCACCTCTTCAATTGAGGGTGGAGGGGAGTAAATGGCAGTCAGTTTCTAGGTAAATTAGAGCCAACTCTCTAGCACTGAGCTTTGGAAAAGACCAAAATGAATCTAACGGAAACCTGATTAACATTGCGTTCATATTTTCCCTACTCTGTCCGCTTCAGTTTAAACTATATTTCATATTCCGCTATTTAGTACCCGAGGCCAGTTCTGTGAATCCTGTGTCGAAATGTACTACGGAAACCCATTGCTTGGTCAACCTTGCCGACACTGTGATTGCGGTCCCATGGCAACTGGCTGTGACAGTATCACAGGAGAATGCCAATGTGGTCATTACACAACTGGACCTCGGTGCACTGAGTGTGCATTCGGTAGTCATGGTGACCCAAGCAAAGGGGAACCCTGTACCCGTAAGCATACTCTTTCTACAGCACATAATTGATAATAGGAAAGGATAACGTATTATGCTATTCTACTCCTCTTCAGCTTGTGGTTGCCATCCATTGGGAAGTCAAAGCATTGAATGTGACAAGGACACTGGTCTTTGTCTCTGTCGTCTATTCTATGAAGGTCGCCATTGCGATCGATGCGTTGCTGGTCGTGGAAATGTGGACGCTGGATGTCCACTATGCAACTGTGACCCCCTGGGCTCAGTACCTCAACAGTATGCATCGTGTGACCCAGTTACTGGACAGTGCACTTGTAAACCCGGTGTTGGCGGTACTCTTGAATGTGATAGATGTGCTGATGGATACTACAACCTTGGGAGTAACGGATGTCAAAGTCAGTATCTTTCTGAATTACTAACGATGCATTACATGTTGATTTCTATTAGTGAGACTCGATTTGTAAGTCAACACTAGATGTGTAAGAAGTAAAATAGAAATGTAAACTAATGTTTAAGTGCCAGAAAGGGTGATTTAGTGATTTAATTACTAGATGGACAGTTATTGCAAATATATATATAGATTTCGATTTCTTTCTCACACATTACTTAAGATAGTTATAATGACACAAACAAAATGATAAAATTGTTGATTTCAGAATGTGACTGTTCAAATCGGGCACTCTCGACTGCTTGCCATCCAACTTCTGGTCAGTGCGAATGCGGAAACAATGTGGTTGGGCAAAAATGCGATCGCTGCTTGGTAAGCTAACCAAGTGTACTTTCCCAGCATTTCAACGGCGCTTGACATATTGACTAATCCTGATTTTATTAGATGGGCCACTATTGGAATGGAAGTGAACCAAATTGTCGCCCTTGTGACTGTGGTCCGGGTGCAATAGCCAATAAGGAATGTGACTTGTATTCTGGCCAATGCCGTTGCGCCCCGTATGTGACTGGTCGACGCTGTGACCAATGCCAAACAGGCTTTTGGGGACCATCACCTAGTGGTTGTCAACGTAAGTAGCCACCTATTTCTAGATTAGTTAATTGTAATTTAATGTACCAAGGAATTTAATCGTGCTATTGTAGGTTGCCCTCAATGTCCAAATGGTCGGGTCTGCGATCAGTTGACCGGAAAATGCATTTGTCCGCCAAATACAATAGGAGACCGATGTGAAGCATGCAGTCCCCATTCATATGACTACAACCCAGCTCTTGGATGCAAAGTAAAGATAATTCTCAGGATAATTCTTGAATTTGTTACATTTGCCATGTAATTGCAATATGATTACTTCAGGATTGCAACTGTTCCGCTATTGGTTCGGATGACTCTACTGGAGATTGTGATCTTATAACTGGCCAATGTGCTTGTAAGAGCGGTTTCGCCGGTCGTGCCTGTGACGAATGTGCTCCTGGTTACTATGGCTATCCTGACTGTAAGCCCTGTATGTGCAGTCTGGAAGGGACCCTTCGTAATTCTAGCAATGGAGATCAAATCACCTGTGATCCAATTACTGGTGCCTGTCTCTGCAAGGCTAATGTTGAGGTGATATTTCCGAACTTAAGATAAATTTTCAAATAAAAATATGTACGTTAAAAGGTTAGTTTGTCTCTTTTAGGGAGAGAAGTGTGACAAGTGCATAGCCGGATCATTCGGGATTAGTGCTGATTATCCATTGGGTTGTTACGCTTGTTTCTGTTTCCCAACATCTCAATCAGCTCAATGCGAACAACTCAAAGGCTTCCGATCGGTTCCAGAAGCTCCACGCCGTCTTCAGGTACAGGTTTTTTTTGAATTTTTTAAATTTCTCTTTATGCACGACTTTTATTTATTCTTTTCTAATAGCTGGTGGACACTGACAATCAATACTTGCCGGGTGGTCCAAACGTTGACCTTCGCTTGACCTCAGAGGTCAGTCAGGGATCAAGTGAGCTGCCTGATTTGACGGTTGGACAAAATCAGTTCAAATGGAGATTCTCAAAGAGTATGCCTACATATCTTATTTTACCTGATGTGAAAGGACCTCATGCAAGTTAATCAATTAAGCGTTTAATTGTCTTAATATTCACTAACCTCGTTTTATTTCTACTATAGACCCGTAGCTATGGATCTATCTTTGTGGAAATTCATGCAGACTGCTTGCCAACGGGTAACTGTGGTCAAGAATATCCATCCACCGTTTTGCAGAATCGTGGAAGGCCTACCACAGATCGAACAGTACTAGAAGATCCTCAGAAGATATTTGCTCGAATGACGGCCCTTAATGGACAATTGGAGTTTGAATACCAGCCAGAGGTAAGATATCATTGTATTCTTTGTAGAAAATCTGCTTTATTGGTTATTAAAGGTATCAATTGTTGATTTTCCTAGGATCTCCCAGCTCAGACCGCCGTGCCTGGTGGTGACCTGGGTGCGCAGTACAACACCATTTGGATGAGGGAGGCGGATTGGGTCCTTACTCGCATTCATTCTCAACATCTTCGAGTTAGACCTAGCCGTGCAGCACTTATGCTGGCTCTAACCAATATAACTACGTTCTCTGTACGATTGACAACTTCGGGTATACCCCTCAAGGCTATTAGGTAATTGCGTTGAAAGCCCTCCAAATGTCGCTTTCTCCCTAAAAATTATAATGGTCCATTATTTAGATAAGATGTAGCGATGTTGTCTGCCAAGTGATATTAAATTGGAATAAATTTTCATCTTCCTAAATCTAGTGTGAACTATCGAACAAGAACTGCCAAGAGCGAAACGCTAACCCAACTTGGTACCCCAATCACCACCATAGAAAAATGTATTTGCAATAACACAGCATCAAAGGGTGATCACTGTGAGGTGGGTATAGCGCTCTTGATATTAAGTAGTATGGTATTTATGTTTAAATTGCAATTGGATTCCTTTTCCAGTTGGCTGACGAACTTAACTACTTCCCACCAATCACCATTAAACCTGGACCGGATGGAACTTACTTTGATGATCTTGTTGATATTACGAAACCATCAGAGAATGGTACAATTGCTGCAGGAGGAAGTGAGTTGTATTGCATAAATGAACGCAGTCTATAACCCCATGTTTCTGAATCGATTATCATTTGATGCACCATTTTAGAGCCAAGCTTTAAAATTGAAGGCGGAAGTGTCTTAAAATGTGAATGCAATGGAATGTCGAGTGAATGTGATTCAGAAACTGGTTTCTGCTTAAACTGTGAAGGAAACACAGCTGGCGCACATTGTGAAATCTGCACGGAGGGTTACATGGGTGATCCAACCAAGGGCATCCCCTGTGAAAAGTGTCCTTGTCCTAGTGAGAATGCCAAGTAAGTTTTGCAATTCAATGCACAAATGTAATTTGATGACGAGTTAACTAATGAACTTAATGGGTATTTTAATTGGCTACAGTTTTGCAAAAACCTGCCGCATAATTGGACAGACTGGCTCATACGTATGTGAGTGCCTTCCAGGATATGCTGGCCAGTTATGTGATAGATGCGCTACCGGCTACTATGGAGATCCTTTGAATTTGATCCCTTGTAAGAAATGCGAATGTAATCCGGCCGGATCACAGCATCAGAATTGCAACATGAAGACAGGTCAATGCGTCTGTTTGCGCGGAATAACTGGAAGACAGTGTGATGAATGTTCACCCGGACATGTGGTCGATGGGGGCCGATGTATTGGTAAGCTACTTGAATCAGATTTAAGTGGTTGGTTTAGCGTTTTTTGCCAGTGTCTCAGTAGGCAATAGTTAATATTGATCCTAAATATTGTAAATGATTATCTTATTGGACCAACGTAAATAGATTGGACATATCGCTAACACATTATTACCTTAGACTGTCGTGGTGAATGTACTGGTGAACTCTTGGAACGAGCAGCTGAGGTGAGTGATGAAATCGACAGAATCGATCTAACAGAGCTAGCCAATCAGGGTTTGGCTGATCTACAAAACCGAACAGACAAGCTCCTTGATCGTTACGAATCAGCTGGTAAAACTCTAAACGCTGAACGAGATCTTATCGAACGGGCTTCTAAGATCACTTCTGACTTGGCACGGATCTCACTCAGCGTAGTGACAACTCTTCCATCAACTGTCAAAGATATCAATGAAGCTTCGTGCTTAGCTGCCAATGCTACCAACCAATTTTCGAGGGATATCGTGAGTCTTGAACGCAAGTTCAACGATTGGATCCAGTCAATGAGAAATCTCAAACCTGGACAAGTGGATGAGGCTCTCATACAATATTGGCATCAAACGGCACGTCTGATTCGTCAAGAAATTGCTAGAATTGACCTTGCACCAACAAATGAATGGGCTAATAAGATGCTTGAAGATGTCAAGAGATCAGAGGAACAGTTAGCTATGATAATCAAGCGTGCCTCTAGTGCTGACTTTGGATCAAAGATCGATCGATTGATCTACTATCAGAAACTACAGGATTCGCACCTGACCTCTCAATTAGAACAGCTTTACTTAATGGGCAATCAGACGCAACGTGGACTGGTAACACTTAAAACAACTACCCTAATTTTGAGTTGATATTTGAGAAATATTTTATGGAGTATTGTAAAATTTCAGGATGAAATCTTGAGCATTCATGACATGATCGATACCACTAGCGGTGGGGCTCTGGATAATCTCAGAATTAATCAAAGCCGCTTTGAAGAGGAACTGAATTCGCTTAAGAGTAATGCTTCTGATTACCAAGAACCAACCATGACTGAAATCAATCGACTATCAGATATCTTGGAGAACACCCAGAAATTCGCTGAGGTTAGTTCAGAGATTTGTAAACAATTTGTGATGACTGAAAAGAAAAATACAATGCTTTTTATTAGATATCAGAAACGGTACCACCTGATGTAATTAGCAAGGCTCATTCCCTTAAAACGACAAAAGATAGAATTCTAGCTGCTTTGGACCGTCCAGGTGTTGATCAAACTCTCGGAGTGCGTGAAACGTACAAGAAAATTGCTGACACTATTTTGGAAGCTCGAAACATCACAGATGAATCCATGAAAGCTATTGAAGCTAGTGGTGGCGAAGGTGTTTCCACTAATTCGATTGAAGCTTCCCTTGCTGATATCACGAAACGTCATGATCAAACTACGGTGAGTCCTTGCAAGAGTATCCTTTCCATACATATCACGTCATTTTTTATCTTCGATGAAATCATTATCTTATCTTGATAGGATCGTGTACAACGTTTGAGCGACCGATTGAATGATGAGAAACTTATCGTTGCAGCAAATGCCGATCGAATTGCGGCACTCAAGAAATCATTTGGGGACATCAATGCTGTTCTCCAGCGCACTCTTGAGGCCTCGAAGCTTACCACTGATCGAGTTAACAAGCAACTTCTTCCACTTGTCACTTTGACCCGACCTCAACTAGACGCTCTTGCTGTTGAAATAGAAGATGCTAGAAAACGTTTTGACGCCATCGACAAGGAGGTGAAAGTGATTGAAAAGCAATTTAACGAAATGGAAGGAACCGCAAATATGGCAGGTGGGATTAACAACGACTGAAATTAAATCCATATGTACATCCTATGTTCACTATTAAGAACTTCCTTCCCTCTTTTAGTTGATCAGGCTAATTCAACACAGAAGAGACTACTGGATGCCATTTTAGCTACAGAAGAACGTGTTGAGACAGTAGATCGAAAGATGGCTGATGCACGTCGAATGGCTTCTATAGCTAGATCACTCCTTGATCTAATCTACGGTAGCCTGGGTAAAGATCCAATTCCTCTGAGGCTGAATGGAGGTGGTGACTGTATCTATACTCTGATACCCTACCATGCAACCAAGAGTCGTGTCTTTGACATGGAGTTCTGGTTTGCTCCAGCTCTTCAGCGTATCTCTGGTAGCACTGGATCAGCAACTGGTATTCGAACGAATTCTGTTCTCTTGGTTGGAAGACGTGCTTTTCCGGCTAGAACAAGCATGTTCGCAATCACCTTGGAATCGAATGGAAATCTTAGATTCTCTTGGTCGCAACCTGAAGTAGTTGGTGGGGAGTTGGGTGTTGAAATTGGACCTTTGAATGGTTCCAACACCAATAGAGTAAGTCTTTACAGTGTAACTTAAATAGAGAGTTATTGTAAAGTAAGATTCTTATACGTCGATGTAATACTGGGACGTCTAGTTTCTTCTGCCTCTACCAATATGCCCACAGGACTCGGGGTCACAGGACAGAAATTCGATCTCTCTAATGTATTTCTTTAGTATATCGAAGAATAATTACCATTGGGCTACTTTAAGACCTTATTCTGGTTTGGTTATCCTTTAAGAACATGGGTATTCTAGCTTTGAACACCGTGTCGGTACGATAGCAGAGCTCTTTACATAGTAATCGTATTTGAATTTAAAATAAGTAGATAATTAACTAAAGCGTCCATACATTTTAAACCATGATATATACTTTTTAAACTTTTATTCGCATAATTCTCTCTTAAGAACTCACCTTATTTGGGTATCAAATTGTTTAAACTTTAGGTTCGTGTGACTGCTATTTCTGGTCGGGTAGACCTTTACCTTCAAGAGATCCCCAAAGATCGTGAAAACCTCGAGGGTCTTCCAATCCACCATGTCAACTACACAGACGAAAGCGAAGGAGAATCTTTAACAACTGGTCTTCTCCTGGACAATCAACTAGAGCTGCGTGTTGGTGGAGCTTTCCACAGCGTGAATTCTGGTGGTTCGAATTCGCCTCCAATGGAGACTTGGGGTGAAGGTGGTGCAGAAGAAATGTGGAATCGATTGGTCAAGATGGAACACGCGAAAGGTTGTCTGTATGAGCTTAAGATCTCTGGACATCGCTTAGGTTTCCCAGACTTCGCCAAGGCTGATTCAGCTTGTCTACAACAGACCGAAGACTTTTGCAAAATGTAGGTCGAAATCAGTTATGCTTAATCCACTTTGCTTTTAAGTTATATCATGCAGGAAGTAAACTAGTACTGATTTATCTTCCAGTCACACTAACTTCCGTCCATTTGTTCGTGGTGGCTACACATGGGACAAATCTGCACCCCTTGATAAGGGTCTTGAGATAACCCCATCGAGGAAACGACCTCAACTATCTCCAGCGGATTCAAGTGGTTCCGCACATGGAGTCTCTCTTGAGTACATGCAACTTTTCGATTTCGGAGCCGCTGATTCATATGCTCGCATCACAAGCTATGATCACCTCTCACCCTGTGACAGAAATCGCAATATTCACCTTCAAAAACTTGCTCCTCAAAAGGCTAACAGTATGGTTCTGACGTTCTACAACTATCGTGAGGTTTGTACTTCGTCTGTGCTAAAATATCTGTCCTCCTATGATCAATATGCAACCTAAAATGATAATATTCTTTCTAGGATTATGGTATTACGATCGAGAGCACGGGTGTCGAATTGATTTGGAGTCGTTGGCAAGGTAATCTAAAGGGTGGAATGGGTCAAAGAGCTCGTGGTATCAGGACGAATCCTGTGACACAAATTGCACCTAACTTCTGGACCCTGGAAGAACCGATGGCCCAAGATTGTGCTCTAGCGAAGGAGGATGACTATGTCTTCTTCGTTGGTGGAATTCCTCCGGGACATTTTGAATTGAGAAAAGCTATGAAGGAGTATGTTAAGTGCTTTTTGTTTGCTTAACTTGTGTTGCGTCGAGCACTATACGACTTCTAGTAATTAGGTTTTGGTAGCGTGATATGGTACTTTAGATTTATGTATTCTTAGGTTTAAAGTTGTTTATTAAATTGAGGTATTCGTGCTTTCTGGATCTGTGTTTTGATTCGTTACGCATGTAAAAAGTGGTGAATAATCTTTATGCTAATGAGTATTATTTTTAGAACAGTGACAGCTTAGAAGTCACCAAGGCAAGGTATTCAAAACTGCTAAACTATAATATTGACGAAATGTATCTTTAATAAGACAGAAAGAATGATTACGTGGGTATAAGTATGACAGGGCAGAGGAAAGAGTAGTAAATGGAAGATTTCGTTCATTCACCATCTTTGAACAGTTGAAAATGTATGGGGGGGGGCTATGTCGCCTCAAGTCGACGAAAATATAGGGTAGTAATTGTGATATGGGCATCTATAACTTTTACTTTTCAACAAGTTTAATGTTAAATTTTAGGCTTTAAGCCTATATTTTCCTTATCACCTTGACTTTTAAGAACCTACTGTTTATAGCTACGGATTATCAACAAACGGATTTAGAGGACGTATCGGTTTAAGTACATTGGGAGACAATCTTCCTGGTTCAATTTTGATTGATTCCTACACCAAAACACCCATCCGTAATTATGGTGACACAAGATTCGCTGACATTCGGCAAACGGAGGAAGCTTATGTTGTGGTATGCATACGTTTCACCATTTTAATGTAGATCATCGTAATTGGTTTACTCTGATTTTTGATGTTACATTTATCCAATAGGCAAACACTGCACCAACCAATCAATACTGCCTCACACTCATGCCTCTAGCCAACCCCTCTAGCTTTGAACTCAAACCCACCAAGTTCTCAGTCCCGTGGTTACCTGAAATCAGTATGACCGTTCGCTTCAGACCAGTTGGAAATGATGAAATCAATCTACTCCGAATGCAAGTCTCAGAGGTAAAGGCTAAAATTCATATCCTCTTAAGTGAAAATGGTAGCAGATGCAATATATTTTTCGCATATAATCTATAGCAGAATAACCTTTGGTTCCGAGTCTGGTTGACACCTGACCTGAGGGTTGGAATTGCTATTCCAAGCGATCCATCGAAGTTTATCACCCGCGAAATTTTCGGAGCACCAGTTATCAGAGATCCGGCAAACAACTTGGCTGCTTTGAAGGCACGTGAGGCCCAGGTCTTCGATCAACCTCTTTTCACAGAATCAGTTCTCACCATTAAATTCTCTGGCCAAGACAACACCATGTTAGTGATCGAGTTATACAATCGATTAATCAAAGACAAATTTTTGAAGTAAATCCTCTATCTGTTGTAGACTAACAGTTTTATTCGACCAACGTCCAGTACAAACATGGACACTAAGTCAAAAAATTCCAAAATCTGATGTCCTACAGGTCTATGTCGGTCCTGAATTGAATACTCTTTCGTATAGCGAGTTCTCAATTAGCAATCTGGTCATTGGAAGAAAGTGAGTATTGGAACACAAAGTGTATTTACATTTCCACAGAAAAAGAAATAGTAAGAAAATAAATTCACTTTCAGTCGGGTGGACTTCGCGGCTGAAATGGTTGATTCTTTGCGTGACAAGCCATTCTACAGATTTGGTGAATGCGGTAGCCAACTTCGACCCAGATTTGTGGCTCTTCCAGTTGAAAGTTCTCCATCAGCCTCATCTGAATTCGTCTATCAAGGTCTCGATCTTCCGCAACCACCGTCTGGACGTCGTGTTCGGTCCATATTCGAAGATTGTGGTGATGTTAATCCTCAAGTCTGTGAAGCTATTAGTGAGAATGTTACAAAAGAATGGCCCAGCATTATTCACTCCCTCCTGTCACCAAAACCATCTCGACGAGTTCGAGTTCGTAGCATGCAATTCACTGGTAATGGACAGAGTTCAAAGGTAGAGGTCGCTGATATTTGATCAGTTTGTGTCCATAAATAGATAATTATGTTTTTTGTGTACTTTAGAATTGCCGGGACTCTCAGAGTCCATCTGCTTGGTTCAACGGTGAGGCCAATTGGGAACTTCAAAATATTCGCACTATTCTCAATGGGAAACTGTAAATCAGTAGATTTCACTCTTATATCTAACCCACCCTTTCGTTTGGAGATGATAAATTCTTTTCTGCTAGTGATTTCCGCGTTTCTATTGGTTTCCGTGTGCGTTCTGTTGGCGTTTCAAAGGACACCGTTGGCTTATTGGCTACCTTCAACTTCGGGTTCAAGGCTGGAGAACTTTTTATCGTTCTCAGCGAGCGCAAGGTACACCTGGTAATTGAAAGTGGGGCCGATGGGAACACTGACTTCTATTGGTCCTCACCACCACTTGATCTTCGAAGCAACGCTTGGCATCGACTTGAGCTTCTTCCTGTCAGCATGCAAACTAGCGATTCTCAAAATGGCGTTCAAATCACTAAGATGAGGGTACATTTCAAACTTGCATTTTACTAACCTTGAGTTCTAACCTTTTCAACGTAATGGGAGGAGTGGACATCAGAATACAGTAAACAGTTGGCTAGTTCAAATAATGACTTGAGAGGGGGGGGGGAGAATTGATGAAGGTAAAAAAGTTGGAGATGAAAGTGCCAAAATGAACGGCATTCCTTCTTAAATATGAATTCGCTGGGTCGTGTGTTTTTTATCAAACGTTGGGCTGATTTTCCATATCTAAATCCAATTTTTGTCGAAATTGGAAATAGGCATTAAACCTGATTAATAAGGACGTTCATTAAAGAACACCTTGTTGATAGGAGAGACAGTAACAAATAAAACTTCCTTTAAATAGAATGTATTAGTCGAAAGTGAGAGGAAGCGACCATAATGTCATAGAGTTCATAATGCTCTAGCATATCCTAACATATTTTCCTACTTGTCCATACTACTCCACTTGAAGGCTTGTGTGCTTCTCTTTGGGCTTGCGAGGTCATAAGCTCTATTTCAGATGATCCATAAAAAAGTGCTTGATGTCTTACGACAAATATCCAACGGTTTAACCAAATTCAATATAATGGGATCTATCGAAACATCCTTCCAACATCTCTGGATATAGAGGAGCCAAATGATAACTAAGACAGATTTGGCAGGCACTAAATCAAATATAAGACGTGAGGATATGATACTCAAGAGCTCTAATGGGAAATAAACCTTTTATTTCAGTTCATCTTCGATTACTATGATATTGTCATAGAAGAGCCACTCACATGGAGAGTACCATCGAATGCCTTCATTGGTGGATACCCTGGCTCTCGCACAATTCGCATGGGCTCAAAAACTGTAAGTTTTAACTAACAAAATTAATCATAACAATAAATTTAATTTTTTGTTTCAGATGAAGTTAGGAAATCTATTTGGTTGTATTGATGAGCTAACGTTAGGAGGACAGGAGTTCGAACTTTCAAAATCTGGACTGCCAGTATGTCCGGATTGCTTCGATTTGGACACCAGTGCTGTTCACGTTCTGCCAAAGATTCAGGATATTATTCAACCCACTCGAGGCCTTGTGTTGCCACTCAATCGTAAGTCCAAAATGAAAATGCACGTATGTCGATATATCCCTTCGTCAACTAATTAAACTACATTACGTTCAGTTAATGTTGATTCAAAGACACTTGAGAGCATGAATACCCTGGAATTCTCATTTGAAGTTCTTTACGACGCTCAAAAAATTGGAGTCGAAAGTCTTTTCGTCTTGGTGTTTGAAAACTTGGATGAACCGGATAATCCCGTCCGCCTTTGGGTGTACCTTGACCGTTACATGGTTGGTTTGAATCTTTTAATATTAAATCTACTTAATATTAAAAAGTAGTGACTATTGTTTATATTTTCAGTTATACGTTTCTGATGGCACCATTGACGAGAAGGTCAGTTTCGCTGTAAGCTCCACTGAACCGATCGCCTGGCACTATGCATCCATCAAGGTCGAATTGCAGGGATTCGCTGCGATTATTGACATCAGCACACAGGGCGAGTCTTCACAAACAGCAATCATAAAGTCTGTTGGTCCACTAAGAGATATCTTTTACGGATCCGACAAAGGTAACATATCTAATGGCATAAATATCTTAACGGATTTAGCTAGTAATTTATTTTAAAGTTATGAATTTGCAATTTCTCTAATACTGTACTAAATAAGATTTACTGTAAAACCTTTTGGAAAAGCACTTTAATTTCAATGCGGAAGCGCTGAATTCCTTGCCAAAATTGCTATTGAGCACTAAATGATATTCAAATTCAGTCAAGAATTTGTAAATAATACCATTCTGTAATAAATTTCCCAAATATTTTAAATTTTAGGGTAAAATATGACGTAAAATTACTCAGTGTAAGGTTACCCTCTAATGGAATTGTAGGGCAAACAAAAAATGCAATTTGTTGCTTCTACTTCTAGAGTAAAATGACTGTATAAAATAAAACCTGTTTTATTTCAATTTTTAGAATTCACTCCAGAAATGCAATCAGAGAGTCACGGAGGCATTCCCATCCCACCATTCATGGGATGCCTACGGAATCTCAAGTTGTCTGTTAGCGAGAGTACAGTCGTCAAAGTTGAATTCCCTGAGGGTACTCAACATCTAGTACATGGTGTTTGTCCTCTTTAATTTTAATCACGAACCCTATGATTTGTATCCAATCGGTGCCTCCTTGAATATTTTGCCTCTTCTCATTATGATTTCTACTTAAATTAGTTCTCGACTGACCATTTATATCTTGTGTATTATCATGTAGCATGTTTACTAATTAACTTATAAAGTCTTTGCTCACAAAGCAGTGCTTGCATTTTCGTAAAAACGAAACTGAGTGCTCATTGAACTGAATTCTTAATAAAGGGTCACTTGAATGAAGAATGATGCCAATTTGCAAAATGTTGAGCTTATATAGGATTAACGTCGGGCGTATGGAGACGGTTAGCCCCAAGCATGTCAAAGCAATTATATAAGGGTAGGTGGCTCAAAAGACCTCAATACAGTATGAAAGTCATCGGCAGCACTGCCTGCAAAAAAATACGATTAAAAACGCACAATCCTCTGTGCAAACTGCAAAAACGATAACAATACTAAAGAATAATTATAAGTATCAACCTTATGAATTAGGTCGTAAGAAATCATTTTTAGTGCCATTCCATTTATTGAATAACTGAAATATTATGGCGAAATATTTATTCATTTCAAATGGCAGGCATTTTGATAGTTATCATTAGGCCTTCAGCTGACTTCAGGCTTCACAGAGGAGGAGGGGGAACATCAAAGCGACAAAAAGTCGAGGGGGTGGGGGGGGGGGGGGGGAANAACAAAATAATGATTCACAGATGTAAAAGAGATCTGCTGAAATGGTGGAATATGACATACAGTGGGGTGATGGTAGTTAGAAGTCAACTGCCGTATGAGTATACGTTGCCCAGGGTGTACCATGTGGAGGTAAGTCTATCACACACCCCATGGCAAAATATAAATTTGCATGAAGTGAGGCAACATCGCTACCACAAACAAGGGCAGCTGGTGTTGTGATGAAGATGGCATAAAATTGTCCAAACTACCTTACGTAAAGCAGGTCATACTAAACCTAAAGGTAGTTTAAAGTCATCATCAACATTGCCTTTTTTCTTGATTTAGCTCTAAAATGCCTCCGATGGATTCCCGATAGCCAACTATTACCCTAGACTTGAGCATAGACAATATCTGGGACCTGATTTCAAATCTATAGGATAAAAGCTATGAGACGGTTATCCAGCCTTTACTTTTACTGAATCATAATATAATAGGCACCCACAACATCAATGCGACTGCACTGTTGTCACCTGCTCATCGAAAATAACTGGCAGCCAGGCCAGCCCAATTAAACGCCAATTAAAATTGCAAAACATTAATGACCTCTACATTATGATGACATTGTGTTAGGTGTTAAGTAAGAGCCTAACTCAAGCTTCTTTTAGTATTAAATTAAGTACTCTTTGTAGGAAAGGCATGTACTGAAAAGTATGTAGAGGTTAAATCAAAAATCATATAGCTGAAAAGTGGATATCATTTTGAAATTAGTACAGACGACATAACTTCAGAATCATTCCTTAAAATATAAAGATTGACCATATAAACTAGGACAGGTTTGATTAATAAGATATTAACAGGTATGTGTGATGCAAAATAGAAAACGGATCAGAAAGCTGTGGATAGCATTGAGATATACTATTCAAAACTGACGGTGAAGAAAATATCTGGCGTAAATCTCAAACGCTTACTGGATGACAAGCACTAGCTACCTTAAAAGAGGCTTCGAAATCGCTTATATGCACATCATAATTATATAAACACCAGACTAGTAAATTTCACTTCACAACATAGTTTGAATGCACCTAGAGGTTCCAATGAATAGTCCACAATGCTAATGAATGGCCAACCAACCTCGTTTTCAATCGAAGAATCATAACCAATCAAGTATCACCATGCACATGAACACGCAATCTGTCTGTATAGGAACAAACTGAAATACAAGTAAATGCCGTTCTTGATGTTAAATCCTTATATTTTCCCTGTCCCAAATGAGCTAAAAGCCCTATTCAGGTCGAAACGAACTGCTTTGACGCTGACGATTATTCCAAATATACCTAAACAACCATAATGTGGATCCATTGGTGAATATTAGAAAAGTTATGGGTCACAACTAATATATAGTGGAAACGTGGGGCAAGATTCTTAGATTCAATTGATTTCAAATCCCTATCATTTTAAGACACTGGAGATCGTCATCCCAACACAGAAGTATAAAACGACACATGGAACTAATTGAGCCACTAAGCTCAAATGACTCGAAATAGATGATGTCCAAAAGTAAGGCTGTAATACAATAAATTGGACCAAATAATTTATCCAATGAAAATAAATCAGCTAAAAAATTCCATGCAAAATTTACCAATGCACGCAATTAAAGAAAACCTGCTTTAAAACAGTATCACTACTATTTCCAAGTAAAACTTACTAATATTCACGAGCCCAAATATACTTTTTAACAAATTTATACACAAATTTTACAATCAACAAACCACATCAATATAACCAAGTAAACAAAGAACAAATCCGTTGAAATAATATTTACTTCAATACAGGATACATTTAGTCTGAGGACTGCATGAATTGCCAGACGTGAATGCGGTTATCAGTATAGCCAGCAAAAAGAGTAGAACCATCAGCAGACCATGCAAGGCAGTTGCAAATGGGTGATTTTAGCTTTTTGGACTCAGGGTTGGCAATTGGCTCAACCTGGAGTTCCTCAACAAGTTCCTTATCTTCCAAGTTCCAGATCTTGATAGTAGAGCCAGCAGCAGCACAGAGCCAGTAGCGGGTTGGTGAGAAGCAAAGAGCCTTAATTTCAGCACCGGCAGGAAGGCTGTAGAGGTACTTTGAGGATCCCAAATCCCAGAGTAAAGCGTTCTCGTCTTTTCCACCGCTAGCGCAGAGGGTGCCGTCAGGAGAAATGGTCACATTATTAATGTAGCCTTGATGACCAAGACCGTCCGTCCTGAGCTTGCAGTTGCATTGGTTCCACACCTAATGCAAGTATTCAAAATTAATAATAAAGTAACAAAAAGAAACATTTGAAATTGAAAAAAATTACTTTGACAGTCTTATCCCATCCAGCGGTAACAATGATAGGATTTTCAACATTTGGAGAGAAGCGAACGCACGAAACCCAGTCAGTATGACCATCAACATCAAAAGTGTACTTGCAAAGGCCAAGAGTGTTCCACAGTCTTACAGTCTTGTCTCGAGAACCAGACACAATTTGGCGATTGTCAGCACTGAAGTGGACACTGAGTACATCATTAGTGTGGCCGACGAAACTTGTGGCGGTTTTACCGGTATTCAGATCCCACAAACGCAAAGTTCGGTCACAGGAACCAGAGATGGCAAATTGACCATCAGATGACATAACTACATCGCTTACGAAGTGGCTATGTCCATGAAGTGAACGCTTGGGAACGCCGAACTTTCCGGATTGGCTGTCGAGTTTCCAGATGATAACGGATTTGTCTAATTTCAATAGTAAAATATTAAGAGTTTAATTACCTCGAGAAGAAGACAAAATGACATCTGGGTGCTGAGCATTGGTTGCGATTTGGGTGACCCAACCCCTATGACCATCAAGGGTTCCACGATAAAGAACAGAATCACTCATTGCAAAACGAACCACAGTCGTGTGAGTAAAGCAGAAAGTGCGCCGAGAGGATTTTAAACAAAGCAAGAAGTCAAAAGACTAATAATTTTACAAATATACACTATTTTGTTTCGTAATATTGTAAAATTTCAATAAGTATGAATATTATTATAATTTATTTGTACGAAAACACATTTGTCCGAATGCTTTCATTAATACCAATTTTCGATGTTTAGCTGCCGCATTTCTCTGAGTTTGTAAGGTATATTTCCTTTATCTGGTTAAAGGTAACATGTGGACCACTCTAAAATAACAATGAAAAATAAAAAATAAAACTTGGAGTATCATGATCGTCAGGGAACTTTGGAAACTCGAACTTTTCAATAGCCTTTGACATTCTACTTTATTCTTATTGGTAGGTTCGAAGGCAAGTTAACTGGAAATTTGCTGCACTCATGAAATAGTGAATAATAAATAAACTGACTGAGAGATACTCAAAGCCAGAAATAAAATTTATGGATCTATGTTCATTACCAACAGGTTCCTCCTTTAAAATTATGTTGCATTTGTTGTGATAATCATGCTTGACTTACTATTAGAATTTGATATATAAACTGAAATAAACGCTTATAATTTTCCCCTTGACTTAATTTCACAAGTGACACCTTAGAGCTAAATAGAGTTTAAATCTTATATTATCAGATATTTTACTTAATTCCACTTAAACATGTTTACTTAAAATAATTAGCTAACGTGCTACAAACATTAATTTTTTCAATTCGAGTTACTATAATGCCTTAATTTTTATATATTTGTCTAATTCATACTTACATTTACGGTCATTTTTCCACCTTATTTGCTTAACTTCAGAAAACAGCCTTGACTACTTTTAAAACATCTGATATTCCGATTTAGCATTTGCATTTCCTCAAATCATACATTTCTAGTCCTAGCAAAGCTTGAGCAAAGGATGAAGATGCGAACTCTGAGTGAAACTATATTTGATGTATACCACGAAGACCTGGCACATCATACAAACCAACCGAACAGTGTTTTTTATCATGGTCAGTGTTGTTGATTTTCATGCTTTACATTTAAGTGTACCCATAAATATGCCCAGTCTTCCTTCCATTTATTACCATAGTTCAGAATTTTAATGGTTTCACCACTCATTTTTCTCCACAGTAAAATTCAGTTATGAGTTGAAGAAGCCGTATTCCTTCTGAATTGTGAAAATTTGAACTTTAGAAAAGTGATGTAGTAAGAATAGGGAGGAAGAGCGGAAAAGTCAAAAAATATAATACTTATTATTTATGTTTTTCATAAATGTTCTATAAAGTTGAATGTACGTTACCTTAGTCTATTTACAATAGCTGACATTAGAGGCTTTGTTTCGGAAAACCCGAATCGTACCTAAAAGATTAACTTTAAATCTGAAAAAGGAGAGAATATCTTAAATAGCTGGACCAGTATGTCGATTGCCGATAAGTCCCCCAATTTTAATAGTAATTAAATTAGGTTCAAATGCAAAGCATTTCATTGTTTGACGTCAGTCATGTATAGGCGTGATAATTAAAACCCAAAAATTTGAGTCAACTAACGATACCATAACCAAGGTATCATAGCCAATCGTTTATCGCCAGGTTTTGATAGCCATCTGTAATTTAAGGCGGACTTCATAAAATAGAATAAGGATGTGAATTGAGCAAGATATGAGCAAATCAAAGGAAATTTTTCGTCTTAGTAATTGAAATGCGATGTTAAACTGACTAAATTTTACTTATATAAAAGAGAAGGCTTTATGATATTTATCACTAGGCCTTTAGCTGACTTTGGGCTTCACAGAGGGGGGGGGACACCAATGTCACAAATGGTCGAGAGGGGTTACAGATGAATAATTCACAGATGTAATGAGACAAACAAACCGTAGAGGAAAAAGTAAGGTGAGTACTGTGGAAGTAGTCGAATATGACATGCAGTGGGGTGATGGCATTTTGGAGTCAGAAGTCAACTGCCAGTTAATAGATTTTTTTGCCGTATGAGTATACGTTGCGCAGGGTGCACCATGTTGAGGTAGATTTATCGCACAATTCTGTCTCAAATCTCATTGATCACATTTTGGTGCCGAAAATTTTGATCTATTATGGCATTATCTGGCAAATATTTGTGTGGAAATTTGAGCTCGTGGTAATTTCCTTGACTAATACTTGAAAGTTGGTCAATGGGTTTGTTACCTGTTCTACTTAGCTAATTACTATGGTCCAATGGAAGTTACCTTTAAAAAATATTAATTTGAATTGAGCACTAATTAGTACTTGATCAAGTAAGTCTAAGCAGTCTTTCAGCATTTCCACCCAACTTCGAGTATTCTTTTCAAACAGAATAACTACCTGTTGTTTATTCCTTGACCTCTGGTCCAAATGAAGAGTTCAAACGAGATTAAATAATCCCAAAATGATAATTTGTCAATGCCAATATAAACTATTTTGGATGTGAAGATGAAAATATTGAAATGAAATACAAGCTTAACATTAGTAGCTTTAAGTAACGAAAAATCTTCGACACTACGGTCACCTATATCAATTTTGATAAAGCAATATATACTTCTGATAAGTGAATATTGTAAATATATTATTTAGAAAATAAGCAAATGTTAGAAAATATACGTTAAAATAAACAATTTTAAGAAATACGCCCCAGCATAATTAGGGTGAATTGCACGTTTATCTTATTGAGCTAAACCAGTTGAGTTAACCCAGTTATACAGTTATGACGGAAAAGGTATTTCTGTACATTGTAAGTAATTTTATTTTTAGTCTATTTGTGAACTTCTTCGATGCTATCTTTCACCGTATGTTAATTTATGTTCTATTTATATGAGTAATAATGCAGAGTTAACGGAATTGTTGGAATTTATGTATCAGATAAAGACGGAGTTCGTATTGTCGGAGGTAATGATTACCTTAAACCTGATCTTCTCTCTCTAGTTTCCATGGAAGATGCTCCTGAACATGCCTTTATGTCCTTTATTGTCATTACCTTTATGAATTCACTAGATCAATTTGCAAAGCTTGGTTTTGGCAAGGTTGAGAACATGCTGTCCAAATATCAAGAAATGACAGTAAGTTACTTAAAACACTTTTCTTTCATTTGTTCAGAAAATTTTTTATTCAATTATTTCCATTTAGTTGTTCCAATCAGTTTATGTTCATAGTCGGAGTACTCCACCACTTTATCTTACGGTTGTCGGTACGAGTACATGTGATCTTGGTATGCACTTTAGCTATCATTTGTTATATATTTTCCTATCATTATAAGAAGATCGTAAGTATATAGAAAAATTGGAACCTTTTTGTTATTAAAAATGTTTAAATTCTTTTATTCCAAGTTTTAACTGATCATTCGGTGATATATCACATTAATTTGTTGGAATCAGTTTTCTTTTACTTCTATTTTTGTATATTTTATGATTCCAATTTGGCTTGGTTGGTTATGAAACATTTTGCAGTCATTTCCCGTTTACTTTAACAGACTTGACGGTAAAGTTCTCCCTAAAATTTCAAGATATCGCCATAGGCGTTTCGGGCTCTATTGTTTGTTAGTTTTGGCACTGGACTTCAAAAGCTTCTCCATGCTCTCTCAACATTGTGCATCAAGGTTGCATATTGTCACCTTTTAACTCCTTCATCTTCATAGGTTTTACTTAAAACGATGTTAAAATTGAAGGATTCAGTAGTTCTTCCAAAAGTAATTTCCATTAAATTAATCTTCGTGTTACCCGGACATTTCGCTTCTTTATGTTATTTCCACGAACATCACGAATGGGATTTCTTCAAGCACAATGCCTGCATTTGTATATTTCGCGGTATGATTGGTGTGATACAATATTTTCTTATCTGTTCTTCCTGAACGCTTGTGAAATTCTTCTAACGTAACCAAGTTCAACTGCGGTCTGGTGAATGATAATGGTCATCCAGAACGCTGTCCTTTCTTCGACACTCATTTCTCTTATCCTGTATCGTTACATCATGACTGTCTTCAATAATATTCCGAATTCATACACAGCACCCCACAGAAAAGCAAAATGTACTTAAAGTGGTCCTTTGAAATAGATTTTTCCAATAAGAAATTAGTCCAATCCTCATTTGACCTTTTGAAGAATTTGTGATTGTCCGGTGATTTTTTCACTGGACTTTTCGTAGAGAATGGATGATGCTCACACGTAGGATCAACCTTTTCCTTTTGACTAATGTGGCTATTTTAGTTTCTTGTATTCCACAGGAGCCTAAATCTTCCCTTGAGGTTGGTAGCAAGGTCTTTTCTGAACATTTTATAGCATTACATTTAATTAACTAGTTATCAGCAATAAGGTCACCTTCTGGATTGTGTTGTAGTTCATTGATCTGTGACCCTCAGTTTCAAGGTCGCGATTAATAAGTAGAATTTCCTGATTGTCTGTGGCCTCAAGAAACTTTCCTGTTGTTTGATAATGAGTTCGTGAAATTCTTAAACTGTTTTTTTCGTTTTAAGGAATATTTTCTGTATTATTTTTTAAGGAGTTACTAATGAGTCATTTTCGAAACCATGTGGACAAAATTTTATAATTCAAGCTAACGAGCTCGAATTGCCTACATTAAAATTGAGAAGTAAAGTACTATCAGCTATGTTCACTTACCACTGAATTGTTTCCTGCACACATGATCAATCTATTGTTTCTGAAAAAGAATTTAATTAAATGTAACTTCCAATATCAAAAGGAGGAAAACATCAAATAAATTGCCATCGTCAACGTAAAAAGTATTTACTTTTTTGCATTTCTTCATCTCATTGATAGAGCGGGGTATTTTACAACATTGATTCGAGATTGGTTTTTATCGAACTTGAATGATTTGGTTTCTGAAAAACAATTTTATGTATTGGTGGTTCATAAAGATTTTGTATTAATTATCAGAAACCAGCCTCTATGTGTCTGTTGTTTACAGTCATTCATAACTGTTTTATAACGTGGCATCAAATAGATTTAGCCCCTTGGAGCGTACATTTTTTCTGCAATTATGATTTTTCTGCATTTATTGCTCATAAATTTTTACCATTCATTTGCCAAGGGAACTATGGATGGTAATTTTTTCAAGAAATAAGATTATAATGAAGATTAAGTAAATTTATTTTGATTTCATGAAGAATATATGCTTCGATTCCAGCTCATTGAAACTTCATTTCTACGTCATACTCGTGGCAGGTCTCGTCATGATAGGCAACCACTATTCATCGATTAGTGCGTTGTTTGTTAAGATAGTGCGATGAGCCGATTAATTTCCTGCTACCCATAATCTGGACAAAACTACTTCCAAGTGCATAAATTGAATGTCAATTCCATCAATAAATGTCTGGTTACAAAATTGGTCAAGTTAAATCCCTGTCTTCTTTCACAAAGGTCAGAGGAATTATATATTCCTTTAATAATGCTGGTTTTAACCGCACTAATATTTCATTAATTATTTAAAAAATAATCTTTAAGAAAACTAGTTTATCAACAATTGCCCGTGTTCTGATTGAAAGTCATGAGGTTTGTGTACCAAATTTGTGGCTGTCAACGTGATTTCTATCTTGGCTCGGTACTTATTCTCTATCATTATTTTTATGCTGACACATTGAAAGCGTTTGAGCAAGTAAATTGACGAGTCGCATTGGTTTGATGAAAATCTATACTTGCTCTATTCATAGTGATAATGCTTTTTTATTATGGGTCTCTGATTACAATTAGCACATTTATTAGATTGGGAAAAACTTTGTGGACGGTCAATGCTTTCAATTTATGCAGAAGTTCAAATTTGAATTAGTACTATTATCCACTTAATTCTGATAATCATACTTTTTTCCTATTTCAGGTGCATTAACTACATTAGAAGTGCCTTTACGTCCATTGTTGGGTCATCTTGCATTGAAAGCCGCGGAAAAACTGGATGAAGAGGCTATGCTTATGCGCAATGATACCACAGGACGCTTCTATACTATTGGAAATTAATTAAGATGCGAATTTGTGGGAAATTGTAATTTATCATTGTTATTATTAAACATCATACACCATCTTTTTGGTTATTAAGTTGTCTCCTTGTTCCTAATTGGAACTCCAAAGTAGCGCCACTCCCATCGGTGGAGTTTCTGTAAGAGACCGACCAAATGTGGGGGGGGGGGGACAGGTATGCCAGCATCAATTTAATAATCTTAAGAGGATGCAGCAGCCATTTCCAAAATCAGAAGACCATGACTACATACATAAGAGGAAGAAGAAATAGAGTTTGAAATCGAAGCGAACGAGCCTCTGTCCTGAGCAAGGAAACAGAGGCTTTGATAGAGGGACCAAATTAAGGTACGTCAAGTGCATTTGATGGGAGAAGCAGGAAATCAGGTGGGCGTCTGCACAGTGAGGAATTAGGTGCAAATATGGAAAGCATAAAACGTTTAAGTAATTACAGCTACGTCCGGTGAGGTCAGTGCATACGAATTAGATCAGTTGGTTTTTAAAGAGCATAGGAAACCAACTACATATCCCAGTTGAGCACAAGTTACATCCGGACTACTTTTACCACTATTCAGTAGTAACCATTGCTCTAGTGATTCTTTTTTACTTCTGGGATAGTTAGAAAGTTAGCTCCGTTGGTGATTAGTCTTCAGAGTTATAGGGGTTATCAGTTTTGATCAACCCATTTCATCACACGTTTCACAAACCAGTAATGAACGTTTAATACAGCTGTAGTGCATACTTCACAAATAAGCTCTTGATTAGACGGTGGTAATCCACTTAGGAGTCCAAGAAAAGTGTAACTCACCTCTACCAGAGCTCCATTATAGAAGTGGTTTCAAAAATAAAATAGACGACTCCTTAACGTAGTGAGACCACAGAACGCACGATGAAACTAAAGTTTTACTCAAAATGCCTGGTAATTCAAGGTAAAATTAACGCTACGCTGCGCATATTACGATAGATGATTGGCTGGAAGGTCTTTGCACGAAAGTTCAAGCTTGCTCGATACGCTATTGGTACCAGGTGCGTACTTCCCAACTAAATTGGATTACTCGAGACCCATTAGCCAGCCATGATGGTGTTGCACATTGCATAGAGATTGACATAATTCATACAAAAAAACTTTTATTGATCTTGTTAGCTTTCTACATCTTTTCCATCATAGATTTCGGTAAAAGTCTTGAAAACCATTTGAATTTGAAGTATTCAAGACCACTCTATTCTTCAAGAGAAAGATAAGTGATGCAGAAACAATACCCATTTAAACATTAAATACCCAACATCTCTAGGTCAAATGCAAAACTCAACGAGGAGAATATCGGGAATAAATTTTCGATTCGTCACATGCTGTAAGCGTGTAACAATACCAATTTGTCAAACTACCGTTATTGGCCATCGATTCACCAATCAGATCACTTTAGCACATCAGACGTGACTTGTCCTTCGGTAGGACATCTTCATATTCGACAGCTTTCAGTTGAAGTCAGCATGGGGATCGTTTCTAGACGTTGGTATCTGTTAATTGTAGTCATATCGACTCTTATTTTTTCTGTCGAATGCCAGAAGAAACGTGGAAGGTGAGTCGACTACATAATTTTAAATTTTAAAAATAATCTTTTGTCCACAGCACATTAATCAATCGTGGTGGCATATCTTTCAGATTTTAAATAAGGGAAGCGAGTTTTGCGAAACGTAGTTCAATTTTTCATTTATGTAAGGAATTGCTATTACATTATTCAACTCCAACCATTAACTTTCTTATTGAAGAAATGTGCTTTTACTAAAAATTACAAAGAGGATAGATTATCACTCTTTTCCCGCGCCAGAATAACCGAGGGGTATTCAGATAATTTAAACTTCGCTGTTTGTTATAAGATTTGATGCATGTTTTTCACTTAATTAACAGAACAACTTGTAATTTACTCGTACGCGTTTTTTCATTTTACGATCCTTTAAATTTTACTTAAGAGATCCGGCCTTTGAAGCACTGGTAAATAAACTATGGAATCTGGATGAAAATCGGTTTGAACTGGGAAAAGACATTATTCTAACCGAACCAAGTACGTCCCTTCTCTTTTTATTTAATAGTTCGATTTATCACCACAAAGCTTCGAAAAAATTAATTAATTCATTGCTTTTTTTATAAAGGCACTATACTGATTATTTGAGTTTCGAACTACTCGCTATAGCTAGGTTAATTTCAAAATAATCCCCAACTTTAGTTATCACGAGAGATACATGTTTGAGAAGAAGAAGAAGAATAAGAATAAGTATAGTCATCGAGGTAAATTGTCATAAGGAGGAAGTTTGAAAATGTAAAAATTCAAAACTGAAGACCTTTACTGTTCTTGTGCTCTAATTCATTATGAGCTTCTCTATCTCCAAGTTTAATCACTTAATTGTTGATTTATTTACAAAAAACACGAGAAGACTGGAGTATCTAGCACTACCAAGGCCGATCGAAGGAGCCTCATTCTACCTCGGGAACATTCTGGAAAGTGAGGGTGCTACTGAGCCGGTATTGAGTAAAACCAGAATTTCTGCCCCCAGGCCTCCCAACCAAACGGCCATCGAAAGGCACTTTGTTTCACAGAGCTCTGCTGTAGTTTGGTTTTACTACCCAATATAGAAGAAATGCGTGGCTTGAGGTCATTTTTTTAATTAAAATTTTGATTAAATTTCCACTATGATTTTTTAAGTCGGCCAGAACTCCAACATCGATCCTATTGTTTCAATTTCCACAAGATTTTTCTTCACTGTATTTGCATTTGTCTGGTCATGCCCTTTGTAATGATCATCAATCGACTTTGCATTAGCCAATTTTCTTCAGAATTTCACAGGGAGGGGGTGGGGGGCGAGTTTTCAATCTGCTTTTCTCTGTTTGAAGGCAACAGGAAGTTGGCTGAAATAATTTAACGCATTTCGTCATTGACTTTCTTTTCCCATTAGGACACTTTGATCGACATCCCGAAGACGAGACTGTCATACCACTTTTTGCATACGTCAATCACTCTCGTCTCCACCACTTGCCCACGTACAGAAGTAAAGCCAACTAAATTCATTGAATTGACCCTACTCTTGTCATTTTTTTGACTAAATGTCTTTAACTTCCATCAGCCTTCATCGATTTGATGAAGTTCTATGACCCCGATGTCTTGAAAGTGGATCCCTCTGGTCCTGAAAAAACTCAAGCTCAAGTAGCATTCCTGGATGCTATTATGGAAACTGAAGTGATGAAAATGGTCCAGGCTTATCTAGTCGAAAAGAACCTCACCTCATCGGTTAAAAGTGAATTCAAGGAACAAATAGGCAACATCTGGTTTGTTCCTTATATGAGGAAAAGGTGAGCCTTTCAGCGCTAGTTTTGGTACAAAATTGGAAAGTTAATCGAGAACGAAGCTAACTGTCAAAAGTATCCTACTTAAGACGGAGAGAATCATTTTACGCAAAATTTCTAGATTTCTGACTTCGTTTTTTTTCGTTGGTTTTGAGTTAGCTGAGACAGGTACTTTCTGATATAAGAACTTTTTAACAGTCAAAGATATCAAAATTGACAAAATCTTAAGGATTAAGGAAAGTAACTTTTGGCGAATATTTATTCTAAAAAAGCCATTTAAGACGCTTAGTATTTCATTTACTTTTGAGGACAAACTACTGAAAGTGAAATGTTTAGTTTTGGAAATTAGACACCTTAATCTTCTATACTTACCTTCCTTTTATAGATCTATTTAGACATGACATATTTGCTGGTAATGTGGCTTTCAGAATTTATGAAAAATTAAAATTTCACCTTCTTAATTCGGTTATTAAAAAGGGCATGAAATCATTCAATTAGAATTGGTCAACTTTTCAACTGTGGATGATGTTATCGCTGCTGCTATTATACCTCACCAAGAAATAAAGTTTAAATTAGTTAATAATCAAGAGGTTGCTAATTCCTATCTCTCAATTATAAGTTGACCATTTACTTTGATCTCCTTTGTGAGTCATCCAATCAATTTTAGAATTACATTTACCCACTCCTCATTATTAGTTCGTACACCTTTTGATGGGATTTACTGCTTTCTGTTCATCTTTTTTCAGACGAATGAGTTCAAGCGCGTTCGAGCACGTCTTTCTAGGTGAGCAATCAGGATTGCGGGCAAAGGGGCTCCATTATTGGCTTCCACTCTTCGTATACGAAAAAACTGGAATTCTGAACTGCTCTGGTATTGAAGAAAAGGTTGGTATCACCCCATGGGTTAATATGAAATGCTTATCGTAATAATGTGCTAGTTCTTGGTGAATTTCGCATTGATCCGAGCATGTATTTCTGCACAAAGATGTCTATAGTTTGACGAAAACTTGACAAGCTATTAACCGCATAAATTTTTTGTTATCTATTGGGCAAGGGGTGGGGGAGGGGTTCATTTTAAATTATTCTGCTCATAGAGGTGGTTAATGATCCATTCATTCATGAACCATTATTGCAATAGTCAAGGTTTATTGGTTTCTAAATGGGTTTCAATTTCACCATCGACTTCATTATTTTAATTATTGTCTTTGACAGGTGAAAGCTTTTGTGTGGGCCGTTTGTTTACTATTCTTCCGTTCGCGCTGGCTGACATGGCGTGATCTTAGCGAGATTGGCCATTAATTAGGCTTCTGTTATTATCTTTTATCTTTAGGTCAGAAACACCCTGTCGCACAAACTAAACACACTTTACAGTTCACTTAATGGACAATTTATGTTTGGTAAAAGGTATATCATGCCTTGCTAGCCTAAATACGTCTTCTAAACTATTTACTTGAAGTCCATCTCATCTTTCTATAGCCTAGCTATTGAATTCCTTACGCTGTCAAATTGATTCAGTTATAACCCGGCCAATTATTTGCGCATTTCGACTTCCCTTGCAATCGATTAAGGTCTTGCAGTATTTTATCAGGGTTTAACTTCTAAGCAATGATGTTTATATCAGATATGTCAGATTTTGGCAGAGCCAACTATTAGCTAGAGAATGAGTAAAACACAACGCCTTACTTTTAAAATCATGTTCTCCAATAATTTATTTATATCAAATGGCAGGCGTTAAGATAGTTATCATTAGCCCTTTAGTCGACTTCTGGCCTCACAGAGGGGAAGGAAAATCGAAGTGAAAAAAGTCGAGAGGGGGGGGGGAGGGAAGAGAAGAGTGTTTCAAAGATGTTAAAGAGACAGGTAGACACAAAGGCAGAAAAAAGATGAGGTGAGTACTGGGAAGTGGTGGAATATGACATATAGTGGGGCGATGGTAGTTTGAAGTCAGAAGTCAACTGCAGGTTAAGAGATTTTTTTGCCGTATGGGAATACGTCGCCCAGGGTGCACCACATGGAGGTAAGTTTATCGCGCACACCTGTTCTCCAATGATTGATCCTTTTTAATTATTTAAAATTTCTTACAAGCAGAAGCTTTCTTCCCTGCTTCAAGCTATGCTGATGAAGTGTTGAGTCTTTATGCGCCAGTTCTTGGAATGCTTTCCATCAGCCCTTTATTCCCAATTTTACTTAACAATAATTTTGTTATTTGTGTATTTTTTATTTCGTCAGAAACGCAATTTGAAGAATGTCTTCTCAGTGTCGTTTACATGGCGAGGTAATTTGACGAAAGAGTTTGGTACCTTCATCATCGGATCCTCTCCAGAGTTCGAGATAGGTGTCTATACTGCGGCATTCTTGACAATGAATTCTCTTTGGCCTGCTGGATTCCGCCACGCCTTGTCATTCAAAGTCAAAAACACCAAGCTGGTCGTTCAGTGCTATCGCAACGACCGTGCCATTTTAGGTTCATGCTACCTGCTTTGATGCATTCAGCATTTCGATCAATCTTACACTCTTTTGCTTCTAAATACCTTGGTTATTGTTTAAATTTATGTGATTTTAAATAAATATGACTTAATTAACTGCATCATTGTTGATTTTCTTGTTAAATTTCATGAAGGCTGAAATTTTCTAAGCAATATTTTGCTGCGAAGCTTCTAAAATAATCTTGTTTACGTTTCGAAATTACCACTACGCCAAAGGTTACTAAGATTTATATCAACAGACAGGCTTTATGATAGTTATCGGTAGCCCTTTAGTTGACAGACACAATGATAGTGGTGTAAAGTGAGTACTGTGAAAGTGGTCGAATATGTCATACAGCCGGGTAATGGTAGTCAACTGTCGATTTAAAGACTTTTTGCCGTATGAGTGTACATTGCTCAGGACGCACTACGTGGGGATAGGTCTTTTGCGCACTCCACCTCCCCCCTCCAAGTTACTAAGATCAAGTAAAAAGTAGTTAGAGAACTTGCAGCTCATTTAACGTTTCCTTTTGCTAATAAGTCAAAATAGTTTTTGTAGTTCAATGAGATTTTGCTAGGCTACGGTTAGCTCAGCCTCAGATAGAGTGATAGGACTGAAGTGCTGTTTCACCAAGGCGCTTTGAATGGAAATAGAGGGATTGGTGTTACCTTAATCTCAATTAACTGTTAGGACCTGCATGTTAATGAAGGCAAAGTAGAAGGACATTTTAGGTTCCGAGATTGAAATTTTCATTATGGATCTTTACTTACCAACACTATTGCCATAATCCCTCACTATAGAAAACATAAGTTCCAAACGTTAAAAATATCTCTTTCTTTCAGATGTAATGATTAAAAGGCTCATCAACGCTCATTTCAGCAAGAAAGTAGGTATAACTTAAACAGAGGTGAAGAAGATAACGATGAAAAATCTTGGTCCTGTTAATGAATATTTCTCCATAGCTTGAGCTATGGTTTTCCTCTAGGGTATAGCTTGTGAATTTAACCTTAAATGGGATTGAAAGGTGTTTGCATAGGTGACTTTTAGCATTTGTTCTATTTAATTTTAGTAATCATGAGGTTCTCAAATGCGTTCCAACTTATTTGAAAACATCACTGAAAAGTTGGCTTTTTCTTGCCTGCATTTACTCAACACATTCCAATTAGTTTATTACCACGTTTTCGTCAACAGTTACAAAACGTAATCACTAACTCTCCTTAGAGCAACACTTCAATGCAGAGTCTATTGATTTGTGACTGCCTAAGAGGCCATTGCATTCACAAGGGCACTCTCTCGGCACACGATCAATAGCCGGCTGCAATCTCCGGGATATACTAGCGTTGATAAGCTTCTTGGTAGTGCTGAGCACTTCACGAGTGTAGAGCTATATATACATATATTACTAATTAAATAGTATGTACATATATTCGTGAAAAGATTAAAAACGGATAAAAGTATACGTCCTCGTACTTTAATGAAATGAATTTGCCTATAAAACAGAACTCACTGACCTAGTCTCTTCAGTTCATAATATTGCCAAGCAGTCTGTTAGGCAGGCAGGTGTACACTCAAATTTGCATTTCATTTTAGAGTTATTTTTTAGAATATTTTGGGAAAAATGACCAATAAAGTAACTGCTGTTGTGGCACAAATGAAGGTCGAAGACGAACTTTACCGGTTTAATATCGATCAAGTGAATAATTTCATCAATTTTTATAACAATTATGGCCGCAGACTGTATTTCTTGGAAAAAGGTTTGGACGTCGACAGGTTTTACAATCCTACCACTGAGATAGCTCCTGAAGGTTGCCTGATTTGTGAGAGTGTGGATGAGATTGAGTATATTCGAAATCAATTCCAGAGACTCTGTGAAATCAACATGAAAATGCTCAAGGAACACATGGAGCAAACAAAACCTTCAACTTCCATGATCGCATTGATGAAGGCCATCATGAAGCTTGGTAGGCAAGAACCGGGAATGGAGTTGGGAAACAGGAAATTACTCTAGGCCTTCAGTTGCTTTAACTTTGCACAAGTTTGCACTATATTATAAATGAACCCACTTAATTTGGTTTCCAGCCTATTGTGCTCGTTGTTTAAATAGTGGGGAATCCCGTGACAATTTTGCTTGTTATGTACTATATTGCGTTATTAGCTCTGCTGAGGGCTATAAATGCAATAGTTCGTTGATCGAAACTAGTTCATCTTAAGAGTATTTCGTATCTTTCAATTGACTTAATCTTAAGATAATAAAGTCTCAAGCAGTTTAGATGGCAAAACCTTTTATTGAATCTTATTTGAAATACAAAAACTGGAATCGTTCCACTAATGCGAAAACCTTTCATAGCCTTCTGAATATTTCGCAAATCAAGAGACCTAGTTTGCTCTATACGTTTAGCAGCCAACTTATTCTGGTCATTTTGATGCCATGAATGAATTCGTATCCAAAAGATCAATGATTTTAATTTTAATATCTGAGATAAGTAGGTTTTCATCCTTGATCACTAATTATCTAATTTTAAGTATCTAACTTTATTCGGTCTTGAAGTTCAGAAATTGAAATTATTATCATTCACGGTGTATACCATTGCCTAGCATTTAGACACGAATGAATGATAAAACACGTTCAATCATCATAAAGGGATAACGGGGGACATTTGACACCGAAAAAAGCAAACGCAGTTTTAGGAGACATTGGTGGCCATGTTGCAAAGCTTTTCCAATAGAATTGGTCAAATTCAGGCTGCCTGACAGTTGGTGTCGGTGATGCCTGCCAGCCACATGGCGGTCTTGGATGCCTAGTGGGATTTCAATTTTCAATCTTAATCGGAAAAGATTCACACCCAGAATATCACACCAATTGCAGTCACAGCTCAAAGGCCACCCATCCATACCAATTTGCAGACAGGATGGCTCTCTTAGATGCCTAATGTGATTCCAATTTTCAATCACATACCTCGAGTAAGTGCCACAACTTGGTCATTCCTAATAAACGCCTGCAAATGGAATGCTACCAGATTAGGCCTTGACTAGATCTTACCAAGCTCTATGGAAAATTCCCCTAGTGTGAAATTGCTCTCAAAATTACCTTACCCACATCAACAGCATCGAGGAAGCTGAATGAGTGTTACTGTCAAAGACCTTAGCCATTTATTACTTTTCGGGTGCGCTGACCCCACAATTACTATTGCCTATTGATTGGCTCTTGGTTCTCTTCACTCGTGACCTCATTAGCTCAATAACGCGATCAGCAGCACGGTCACGCGCTCCTTAATGTTATTGAGGAATAAAATTCTGTATCCACGACAGGACATGAGTAGACCTCACCGAAAGCTAGCACAACCGAGTGGGTAACTGCGCCAATTTGCACGCAGCATACTCGACAGAGAACTGCACTCAATAAGGTGCAAGCACAGTCCGCGCTTCACGCGGCAGAGCACGCAGCGAACGCCAACAACAGTCTATTTACTAATACTAGGTCCCACGGGACCAGACAAAGAATCTGACAGCAAGTGCTGTCTCGGTACTCACCATACAAGTTCTATAGTAAGACCGATATTCGGTAGCCCCGGACCCACCACCCACTTCTACCCACCCAACCTCCCACTTGCCACCAATGTCCCTGTACTCCCAATAGACATTGCTTTCATTTCCACATCCTCCCGTCCACCTAACCGAGCATAAAATCAACTTCCTTGTGCATAATTCACTCTATATTTACTCTTTTTTACCATCACAACTACCCTTTGCCCAACTACCTCTTTACTATTTCAGTAGTATCATCATCCTTCATATACCCGAAGTGCATCTATTCGCCTTCAATGCCGCTCCATTCACTACTTCCATTCTGGTGCTTCCCAGTTGCACTCTCTCCTTGGCCTCTGCATATTGGAACGATCATGTGTCTCACAACAAGCCTGTGACCAACCCTGCCTACTCCATCCTTCAGTGCTCCCACAACACCTTCGACTTCCCACGTTCTCCACAAACTTCCAATCCATGCTTAGCCTCTCTCTACATTAGCACGAAATGTAGAAAACATCATCGCAGTCAATGTCAAGTTCATGCCAACTGCTTCATACTTAACTTCTAGCGAAGTTTGCAGACACCTCGTTGGTTGGTAGTGAGCAGACCCATGTCTTCACTGCTTATCCAATTTTCGCCCAATTGTGTACTCTAAGTGGCTTCGAAGCCCTACCTACGCTATTTCATCCGGAAAATTTACCGGATTTGATGCAAGCGTAACCAAGGTTTGAGCAACAACAGCAACAGTAACGGCACAGTACATCCTCTACCTTCCCAACCATAAAGTTCAGAGGAAGTCAACTTGCACTGAAAAATTACGTTCGATTATGAGTAGGCAACTCTGTCTGCAACTTACTACCTCATTTCATTCACCTTGTGCAGACGTTTTGGCTCTTCTTTCTCAATTCTCACCTATTAACAACAGTTAGCAACATGTACCAGGTTTTTCACTTGCATCTCATCGAGGTGTTATTGACTTGGCCTCTACTTTCCGCTATTATTCACGATAGTTGAAGTGGGAGGCTATTTATCGTCAATGCGCTTGAAGGGATAGGTCATTTTGGGGAGATTGTAGACAAACACAGAAGATGAAGTGGAACAGGTAGCGAGGGAGAGAGTGGATCTCAGCAATGATGTAGGGTGGTGCAGAGCTGGAGAGGTTGGAGAAATTGGCTACATACGCAATCTAGTTGGAGCCGCTTTAGCTCACTAATGCACACAACTCAGGAGTGGATCCTTCACAGGAAAGTGCATTGGTTTGTGCTCAAATTGGAGCATCTAATCAGTCAAAACTAACATATCGGAACCCAATTGAGAGTAGCACTATCAAGGTCATAACATAGTCCTTTCACTCTCTCCCCCTCTCTTCCCCTCTCTCCCTCCTTCGTCTGATTAGTTTCAACACACCTTTTTTTGCCTTTCGGCTTTAGAGAGATTTTACTCCGCATTTACTTCGTTGCAGCGGCATCGCAACTTCTTCCTTGCCTCCGACTGACCTTGCACTGTTTCTTTATTGCTAGTGCTCAGCCACACAGGCGACAAGTGCTTTCCTCATTATCTATTTTGTTCTACTTCAACTCTGTTAATTCTCACTCACATGGAGGAAGGAACTTTCCAACACTCTCTTTGTCGAGTGCGTGTTTGAGAGAGTCATAATTGACCAACACTGATGGGAGACTCTAATTCAGTCTACTTTCAGACTTCATCATTGTAATCTATTGCTTCTCTCACCGAATGTGTGCCTATGAGAATCAAAATCATGATCCTTGGCTTTACATACGCTCACGCTCTGCGATGCATTGTCATAGATGAAATGTGTAGGTAGGGTTAGGAAATTTTCCTAAAATC